TTCTCGCATGGGGTCAGCAGTACTGCCTGGAAACGTGTTCTCTGCCTTCAGTTCCAGCGGCACATTGGAGGGGGCAAAACCAGACTGCCCCAGCTGGTCTGGTTTAGGGCCAGCACTGTCCAGTTCAAACCAAGAGATCTGGCTTCTCCAGCATAAGTTAGCAGCAGGGGCAGCACTCGGCCTGTTCCTGGGGGGAGGAGGGGGACTGAGAGAGCAGTTTCCCCAGAGCCCAGCGATTCAGAGGGGCCTGGGCTTCCACCCTGCTGCTGCTATTGCAGCAATGGCAGTAGCTGGAGCCTTGGGCCCTTTAAATCGGCCTGCATGCTCCAGGTGGCGCTAAGGGTTTGGGGGGGGGGGGTGAAGAGGGCTGGCAACTCCTGGCCCCACCTATTTCATGTGAGACCTGAGCAAAATTGGTTTTGGTAAATAGCAAACTGGTCAAGAAATGCATCTTTCCGGCCACCAAGAACGTTCAGGATTGTGGATCGGATTTGGCGAATACTTTTGTCCACAAAAAAAAGTCCCTTGACTTTCTTTTAAGACCGTCAACGTTTCCCAGACCTGGAGGAGAGCTCTGAGTAGGCAGGAAATCTGGTCTCTCTCCCCAGTAGATGTGGCCTCCCCCAACTTGTCTCGCTAATTCCCTGGGACCAACATGGCTACAACGGCTCTGCACACAAGGTTTCGTTTTGACATTTGCCAAATGAACCGTTTCCGTATTTCGTTTAGAGACTAGCCCTTCAAAACGACATTTGAAATGTTTCGTTCAACATGCACAAAACGTGTCAGTTTTCCACGTAGGCGACCAGGGAAAAAATCATTTTCAGTTTGAAACGAGAAGAACGTTTTTCTTCCCCCCCCTTTTTTTTCCAGTTTGGCCACCAAACTGAGGGATCAGTTATTCGCCCAGTTGTAGCTGTAACACCTGGAGGCCAGCAAAAGGCAGCAACCTGCCAGGGGCGAGTCCTAGTAAGACAAGGCATGCATGCAGTCTGGAGGAGTGAAATCATATCTGGGGCGTGGGGGAGGGGAAATGAAAGGAGGCGATTAGACCTTAGGGCTGGCAGAAGCCCTTCCTACCTCAGCTAGATCTGTCACGTACAGATCTCGTGCAAGGGCAGGGCATTTTACAGAAGGGAGCATCATTCTCATTTTACAAATGGGGAAACTGAGGCACAGCAAGGGAGGCTACTTCTACCCAGCAGGCTTCTTGCACAAAAAGGTTTTTGTGGAAGAGATCTTCTGCAAAATCTGCTTGCGCAAGAGCGCATCCACTCTGCAAAAGTTCATCGGAAAAGAAATGCACTTTTGCGCAAGAAAGCGTCGACGCTGCATGGACGCTCTCTTGAAAGAAAGCTCTGATTGCCACCAATAGGCTGTTTTTGCACAAAAAAACCCTGTTTCCCATCCCCCCACACACCTTTTTGCGCAAGAGCTCTTGGGCAAAAAGGAGTTATTCCTCGTAGAAAGAGGAATACCTGTACCACAAAAAGCCCTCTGTTCTGTCAATTCACTGTACATTTTCTTGCACAAAAACGCACTTGAGGTGTGGATGCTCCGCGGGTTTTTGCGCAAAAACCCTGTAGCGTAGACATTGCCAGAAAGTCTAACCCCAGCTCACACAGCACAATGCAGACCCCCTGACACCCACACGCTAAAATCCCAGAGCATGTCTACACAGCCGCGTTATTTTAGAATAACTGACGTGATTTTGAAATAACAAAGAGCGCGTCTACACAGCAAGCCGTTATTTCGAAATAATGGCAAGTTGGAGGACTAATGACGCTGACTCCTGTAACCCTCATTTCACGAGGAGTAAGGGAAGTCGGAGGAAGAGGGCTCTTCCTTCCACTTCTTGCTGCACAGACAGCGCCAAAAGCTGAGTTAAGCTATTTCAACTTCAGCAACGCAATTGACGTAGCTGAAGTTGCGTCGCTTATTTCAGCATTAGCCCTGCAGTGTAGACGTGCCCTTAGGGTGGAACCCAGGAGTGCTTGCTCCTTGTCACATGCTCTGGCCATTGGACTGGGCCCTGCCAGAAATGAAGAGAGAGAATTTAGTTATACCAGAGAGAGAGCTCCGGGAGAGCTGGTCCTGAAAAGAGACAAAGGGAAGAGAGGAGCCAACTTCTCCTTAGTCTCTTCTGCTTCTCTGAAGTTCCCTCACCCGGTGAACACAATCCTTGTGACATTTCCTGTTAATCTGCCTAACGCCCTAACAGAGCACATGACAGCGCTGGTTTTATTTTTGTGCGCTGAGCTTTAAAGCAGTTCCTTTTGGAAATGTGCAGGTCAGCAAGCAGCCACAAAGGAAGAGGCCTGCACTGGGTGCCATGGAGGGATGGCCCCAAAGTGGAGTTTGCAGGGGGCAGTGCGATCTAGTGGGCAGAGCACTGTCGTGGGACTGAGGAGACTCTGGTTCAAGTCCCAGCACTGGAGAGGCCACAGCTGTATGATTGTCCAGCATTGGACCTCCCACTACGAAAGGAAGTGGACAAATTGGAGAGGGTCCAGCGGAGGGCAAAGAAAATGATGAGGAGGCTGGAGCATGTGAGGGATTTGGGCTTGTTTGTTCTGCAGAAGAGAAGAGTGAGGGGGGATTTGAGAGCAGCCTGCAACTTCCTGAAGGGCGGTTCCAAAGAGGATGGAGAGAGGCTGTTCTCAGTGGTGGTGGATGGCAGAACAAGGAGCAATGGGCTCAAGTTGCAGCGGGGGAGGAGGGGAGGAGGGGGGGGAAGCGTGGGGATGGGTTCCCTAGGGAGGGCGTGGAATCTCCATCCCTAGAGAGTTTTACAGACCCCTGGCTGGGATGATAGAGTTGGGGTTGGCTCTGCCGCTTCTGTGATCCTATGATTCCCAACTGAGCCCTTGGCCTGCTGGGTCACTGCCCAGCTCTGCGCCTAAGTTTTCCCATCTGTAAGATGGGGATAATGCTACTGACCTACTCTCTCAAGTGCTTTGAGCTCTACCGATGGAAAGTGCTATGTAAGAGCTAGGTGCTATTATTGGTGGAAGACAGCTGGGTCTATTGTTAAGACACAGATGTGGGAGTTGGGAGCCCGAGTGGTATTCTGAGATGACCCTGGGCAAGTCACTTTACTGCTCCATGCCTCAGTTTCCCCTTTTGACTCAGTGGTAGAATAATACCTATCTCACAAGGGTACCACGAGGCGAATTGTATCATAAAGCACTCTGTGACCCTAAGCTGGAGAGAGCTGGAGCAGTATAAAGCCTCGCAAAGAGCTGTGGGATTCTCCATCATACCCTGATCTCCTGCCCCGTCCCAGCAAATTGCTGTCGGCAGCTCTGGTGCCAGGCCTTGCATGGAAGCTTTGATTCCCCGGTGCACTGGCCTGTCGGTGTCACTGGGACTGGTGCACCGTGCTCTCTGTGTGCACAGGTGGAAATGGTTCCACACGGAGGAGAATCACTAGCGCGTCAGGCCCTGCATTGCCATCCTGCCCTAACCCCACTCCTCCTCTGGCGCCCCGGCTCCCTAATGCAGCCGTCACTAGGGAGTCTCAGGCCGGTGACGGGGGTGGGGGGGACACGGTGAGACCAGGCCAGACTCATGGGGCCCTGTCGGCCGCACTTTGCACACTGACCTAGGCAGAGGGAAAGATAAATCAGCGCTGGGCGTGGCCTCCACAATTTCTCCCCCTCCCCACTGGGCTCCTGATCCACGGAGCAACCGGGGAATTTACCTTGGCCTCCTGCCTGCTGACGCGATGCCAATAGTCGGCCCAGGAGCGGCCTAGGGCGGCTGCTTTCGGTGAACAGGCCCCAGCGCCCGTCCCTGAGGCGTTCCTTTGCCTCTCCCTGCCCACTGCTCATGCACACGGCAGCTCCCTTCGCCTGGGGGAGCAGATTTTGGGGCCTCGCCAAGTCGCAGGCGACTCACTTGCTTTCCAGGTGACTCAGAAGGGCCGTCCACAAAGCATCAAGGAGGGGCAAAAATAGGAGCCGGTGCTGGGGGGAGCAATGTCTCCCTGGTGCCGCTTCCCCCCCTCCCAGAGGCAGTGTGTGTGTGTGGGGGGGGGGGGGGGGAGGAATAGGGCTGAGGTTCACCATGGGCAGAGGCTGCTCCGGAAGCAGCCCCTGTCTGCAGGGGTCCCAAAAGGTAGCTGCTTCTCCTCCCCTCTGCTGACAGGCGCTGCTGCCAAGAACAGAGATTGCTGGACTCAGCATGAGCCAGGGCCGAGCAGTCCCGATTCGCGCTGGTCCGGGACGCTGCGCCTCTGTGCCCCGTGGCTCTTACTACATTTAAAATGCAGAGTCGCAGCACGTGGCTCCTGGAGCCGTCCTGGCTCAGGCCAACTCCTGGAGCTACCGCCGCTTGCAGCTCTGCAGAGCGGTCCTATCCACTGATTGTACAGTCGTCTGTAGTGACGGCGCGATTCGCTAGATAATCGCCATTCAGCACCCTTAGCATGGGAAGCCACGCTGGATGATCGCAGTGGACCCTTCTGGCTTTGGAATCCACGACTCTGACTATCTTAGCAAAGAGACCGTTCCAAGGTGAATGGATCGGTCCGTGGACACCGACGTGGGGAGCAAACCCATGATAATGGCCTGAGCGGTCCAACAGAGAGGTCCTTCAAGATGCAATGGCTGGAAATGGAAGCGAGATACATGGGAATAAGGCCAGGTTTTTTACCAGCTAGGCATTGGAACATCTCACCATTTGTGGGTTGTGCTGGATTCTCCATCGCTGGCAATTTTAAAATCAAGATGGGGCTTTTTCCCTGAAAGATCTGCTCTAGTTCAAACTGGAATTAGTTCCGGATGTGTCAGACAGGAGGCCAGACTGAATACAGTGACCCCTTCTGACTGTACAAGTCTACGACTCTATAAAAAGGATTTGCTACAGTCTTTGGCTGTTAAGTTCCAGGCAGATTTTTTTGTATTGTCTCTTCCTCCCCGTGCACCCGCCCTCAGTTCTTCTGTGCAATGCATGTCTCCGGGCTTGCCGTGCTCTGACCAAGGGCGTTGTGTTTCTAGGGATTTCTCTGGACGTGGACGCAGACCGCGATGGAGTGGTTGAAAAGAACAACCCCCGGAAGGTAACTTTTGCCTTTGGTTGCGTTGTGCTTTGTGAACTGTGACCCCTTGCTCAGCCCTGGCGTGGGGCCCAGAATGAAATCACTGTCTGATATATTGGGACTTGTTTCCCTTAGAATCTGTGTGCAGCCAATAGAGCCTACATTTATCCCCCGGCAGGCACAGCCTTTGTCGGTCTCAGCCATCTGATGCAGGGCTTGAATTGCAGATTAGGTTGACTGTTTGGCCCAGGAAGCTGGGGGTGGCAGAGTTAGAAGCTACGTTGCTTTCCAAAGAATAGTAGCATCTGGCATAGAACACAAGGCATCTGACAGAGTCACTAGGAGCAGCACTATGTAGCTGAGGGGGAGATACATTCTGTGTGGTAATACGCTCAAATGCCTCTGCGAGCCTAGATCAAGGCAGATTAGATGCTCTCACGCTTTGAGACATAGGAGGCAACCTCATGTTTCCGCCTCTGTCTGATGGCGCATGTTCTTCTCAATGGTTATGGCATCTGTGGTCCACTGCCTTTCCATCTTCCACGAAGAGTACGTCTAGACTACAGAGCTTTTCTGGGATACCAGAAAAGCTCTGCCGTGTCCAAGAAACATGTCTACTTTTCCGGAAAAAAAATCGGAAAAGCAGATGCGTTTTTTCAGCATCCCTGTAAACCTCCTTTTACGAGGAAGAAGGGATGTTCCGAAAGAGGGTTTTTTCCAACATTTGGCCCCCTGCAGATGGGCCAAATGTCGGAAAAGCCTCTTTTGGAAGAAAAGTAGAAGAAGATACGCAAATTGCGGTTTGCAATTTGCGTATCTTTTTGCGACTTTACTTTGTAGTGTAGACGGGGCGGCCTGTGAGCCTAGGCAAACTAGGCAGTTGCCTAGGGTACCGCTGGCCTGGGCGCCCGATGATGACATCACGGGGCGCCGGGGCGCCCCGTGATGATGTCCCAGCCATTGACGGCCGTGCAGGCAGGGGCGCCGATCACGCCTCTGCCTAGGGTGCCAGCTGCCACAGCCTGCCTCGAGCCACTCCTGAGTGTAGACATAGCCTAAGTGGTAGCCAGTCAGGGACTTGTCTGGGAATCTGGTATTTTGACATCAGTACCACATGCCCCAAACCACTTCCACCTTCTTTCCGAAATCAGTGTTTCTACAGTCTGTTGGCTAGTCCTTTCCAGCACATCAGCATTGGCGACTTCTCTCCTGTGATGTTGTGTCAGTACCTTGCTGGTTGCTGTGCTTGGGCTGTGGATGACCCCTACTGGCTTCTGACTGTAAGAACTGCCCAGCGGGGGATGCCTTGAGGGCCCCCATGACAGTGATGGAACAGGTCCTACCGGCTAAGGGAAAGGATGGAAAAGGAAGTGAGTGTTGGGGGAAGGGGCAGTTTCTGGCTAAAGAGCATGGAGGAACAAATTGTTCTCCTTGGCCTCTGAGGATAGGACAAGAAGCAATGGGCTTAAACTGCAGCAGCAGAGGTTTAGGTTGAACATCAAGAAAAACTTCCTGCCTATCAGGATGGTTAAGCATTGGAATAAATTGCCTGGGGGGCGGGGATCTCCATCAATGGAGATATTTAAGAGCAGGTTAGACAGACACCTGTCAGGGATGCTCTAGACAGTGCTTAGTCCTGCTGTGAGGGCAGGGGACTAGACACGATGACCTCTCGAGGTCCCTTCCAGTTCTATGATTCTCTGATTCCTTAACCCTCTCTGTTAATATTCAGCGCATTAAAAAGCACAGCTACATCTGTTTAAAAACATCTGTGGTCCTCAGGAGACTGTGCAGCGGTCTGTAGGGTGATGCATTTTGAGAATGAAGCAGCAGGGGATGGGTAGGGGAATGGTTCATAGCAGGAAAAACAATCCATTGTGGGTAATTTCTTATAACCCATCACCTCTAAGTACCCATTCCCTCCTAGCAGGTTGTTTGCAGACATAGTGAATGGCAAAAAACAGGACTGTGTAGCCCTTTAAAGACTAACAGGATGGTTTAATAGGTGATGAGCTTTCGTGGGCCAGTCCCACTTCCTCAGATCAAATAGTGGAAGAAAATTGTCACAACCATATATACCAAAGGATACAATTAAAAAAATGAACACATATGAAAAGGACAAATCACATTGCAGAACAAAAGGGGGCTGGAGGAGGGGAAAGGGGGGGAGGTAAATGTCTGTGAGCGAATGATATTAGAGGTGATAATTGGGGAAGCTAATTATCCCAATTATCACCTCTAATATCATTCGCTCACAGACATTTACCTCCCCCCCTTTCCCCTCCTCCAGCCCCCTTTTGTTCTGCAATGTGATTTGTCCTTTTCATATGTGTTCATTTTTTTAATTGTATCCTTTGGTATATATGGTTGTGACAATTTTCTTCCACTATTTGATCTGAGGAAGTGGGACTGGCCCACGAAAGCTCATCACCTATTAAACCATCCTGTTAGTCTTTAAAGGGCTACACAGTCCTGTTTTTTGCCATTCACTAACTACATTTCTACCACTATAGTGAATGGCAGATACTGAAGTAGAAGCCACAGCCCCCCAGGAAATGTTTCCATAGCTACGTATTAAAAGAAAGGCTAGATCAGGGGAACAGTGCAAACAGGTGAGTGGGTGTCACTTTCTCAGTCCCTCCTCCAGGTCCCATGTAGCTATGCTCGCCCACAAGTCACCAGCACGTACGTCATTACAGAATAAGCATGTGCTACCAAGTCAATAAGCCGCATGCCTTTCCTTATCATCCTCACCCTCTCAAGCCACTCCGTTTTGGATTCAAAACCATCACATTCTTCCTCGTACTAAAAGTGGCCTTCAGTTTGTTCAGGAACTGGGGATGCATGTGTGCAGACTCCATTCTTATCCGTGGGGATTGCCTTCAGCACTGGAACAATAGGCCTCCAACCTCCAGAGCAAAAGAAACACTTTTTTCCTGTGAGTAACAGTTTGATAGACACTAGATTTGGCCACTCGAGGGAAAGATGGGTGTTATATTTTCAGGCTTCCTGGACGTGGGGGCCAGACGGGCAAGGAGCCATCCTGCTGGTGAACTGCGACAAAGACAACCCTTTGATCTCTGCGCTGGATTGCAATGATGAAAAAATATTCAGGAAAGAAGGTATAAGCAGCATTTCCTTTTCTGCTTTGATAATAACGACACAGGTTATCAACACTGGGAGAACTTTTAAAATCTAATTTACCTTTTCCTTGTCGTGCTGCTGTGGCATTTGCATGGCTGATGAAGAGTCCATTTCACTTTCTAGTCACTTTCACTGTTAAGGTTCTCGTGTGCTGACGCCAACTGCAGTGTGTTAAGCGGCAAAAAACTGCAATGGAATGTGTTATTCAGTCAACACTGTGGCTGTGTCTAGACTGGCCAGTTTTTCCCGAAAATCAGCCGCTTTTCCAGAAAAGCTTGCCAGCTGTCTACACTGGCCGCTTGAATTTCCGGAAAAGCACTGACGATCTCATGTAAGATTGTCAGTGCTTTTCTGGAAATACTATGCTGCTCCCGTTCGGGCAAAAGTCTTTTTCCAAAAGACTTTTGCGCAAAAGGGCCAGTGAAGACAGCACAGTAGTGTTTTCCTCAAAAAAGCCCCGATCGCGAAAATGGCGAACGGGGCTTTTTTGCGGAAAAGCACGTCTAGATTGGCCACGGATGCTTTTCCACAAAAAGTGCTTTTGCGGAAAAGCATCCTGCCAATCTAGACGTGCTTTTCCGAAAATGCCTTTAACGGAAAACTTTTCCGTTAAAAGCATTTTGGGAAAATCATGCCAGTGTAGACGTAGCCTGTGTCTGGTAGGATGTAACTTCATTTTTTTACAAAAGTTTCTATGCACTAAACCTGCATCTCGGAAAGCAACTCCATGAACACTGACTCAGCAGAGCTGCATGCCTTGTGTTGGAGGCAGATCAGATCAGTTTAGGGATGAGTACGTTACATTGCTTAGCATCTCAGCCATGCGTGAGCTGGCTTCTCTCCTAGCTCCAGCATCATAAACTGAATCCTTAACTATGTTCCAAGGGGCAGGGCCAAATTCCCTTCTCAGTTTGTTACATCCATGTGAGCCAATTTGCCATGTGAACTGTTGACACTTGCACCTACTCCAGCTCTCTGCCTTTCCACTGATTTCTTCCTATGCTGTGAAACTCCCCACGACATAACATGAACCAATTTCCTTGATGCAGTTGCACAGGAGTAAGAGGGCAGATCTCGAAGATAGTGGAGGTTATGCTGATGCAACTGTGGCAGAATTTGGCCTGCAGCATCTTTATTACCTATTGCTCACTTGTGTCTTGTTACACTGGACAGGCGCTATTATGTTTATTCCACTGTACAGCTGTGAGCCAGCTAGAGGCAACTGTTTGCATCGGAAATGCTGAATTATTGCCCATGCTAAAGAGATTGGTCTGCCCTTCATTCTGGGCTTGGCAGTGGGATGGTTATGTATGTGACCACGAGTCTTCACACCAGGGATCAGATGCACACAGTGGGTGCTTCCTAACATGTAACAGTGCAGTATTGCTGTAGCCACCTTCTGCCTCTCCAGCATCCTCTGTGCACAGTCTTTGGTTTGTGAATTCTCTGACATTTTGGGTGCCCTTTACCATTGTAAAGGGGATATGATAGAGGTCTATAAAATCATGAGTGGTGTGGAGAGGGCTGATAAAGAAAGGTTATTTATTAGTTCCCTAAATAGAAGAATTAGAGGACACCAAATGAAATTAATGGGTAGCAGGTTTAAAACTAATAAAAGAAAGTTCTTCTTCACACAGCGTGTAGTCAACCTGTGGAACTCCTTGACAGAGGAGGCTGTGAAGGCTAGGACTATAACAGAGTTTAAAGAGAAGCTAGAAAATTTCATGGAGGTTAGGTCCATAAAAGGCTATTAGCCAGGGGATAGAAATGGTGTCCTTGGCCTCTGTTTGTCAGAGGCTGGAGAGAGATGGCAGGAGATAAATTGCTTGATCGTTGTCTTTGGTCCACCCTCTCTGGGGCACCTGGTGCTGGCCACTGTCGGCAGACAGGCTACTGGGCTATATGGACCTTTGGTCTGACCCAGTACGGCCGTTCTTATGTTATGTTCTTATTGTTCTTTTCGTGGATTGCCTACAGAAGGCGTTCTGGTTTTCCTAGTCTGGCCCACACACCCAGCTCTGTGTTTCTTGACCATTAATCTGCCACCCACCGCTGTTAGTAAATACTTTACTAACCTCGGAAAGGGTAGTCACACCGGGGCAATGTTGTATCCGATGTCCTGCCTTCATTTGCCTTTGTTGTTTTTAACCCCAGATTTGCAGGACATGTCTCGGATGATCTTGAGAACCGAAGGCCCCCAAAGACTTCCTGCTGGGTATGAAATGGTTCTCTACATTCCTATGTCTGACTCGGACAAAGTCGGAGTCTTTTATGTGGAGAGTAAGTGACTCCTCTTTTCTTTCTCTTCCCCTTCCCCCTGTTTCATGATGCTTTTGTCCTCTCTGGGGTTACAAACTCTTCTTTTTCGTTTGCTTTGTTTCCCGTGTGCACTTTATTACCGTTTTCCACGCTCACCCCTAGCACTGATACAATCCACCCATCAGGAACCACTCGCCCACCTGGCAGCTGTTCATTGCTCTAGCACTTCTCTAGCGGCTCCATCATTTCCCCCAGTATTTAAATTCCGATCTTGCTCGGGCTGGTATCAATCGGGAGTCACTGGAGTTACACTAATAGGGCTATGTGTAGACTACAGACTTCTTGTGCAAGAAGCTTTTTTCAGAAGAGATCTTCAGGAAAAAATTTCTTGCAAGAAAGAGCGTCCACACTGCAAAAGTGCATCGAAAAAGCGATCTGCTTTTTCGAAAGAGAGCATCCACACTGAATGGACGCTCTCTCGCATGTAAGCTCTGATTGCTATGGATGGAGTAGCTACCAGGGCACCTGTGCTTTTGCCTCTTCCCTCTTCTTCAGAAAGAACTCCCTTTTCCCCGTCCACACATGGCTTTTTGCAAAAGAGCTCTTTCGCCAAAAGGCTTCTTCCTCATAGAACAAGGATTACCAATTGTGCAAAAAGCCGTCTGTTCTTTTGATTTACTGTCGAAAGAACGTGCTTGCAGTGTGGATGTAACTCACGTTTTGTTAGAAAAAAACAGCCAAGTGTGTTAGGAGCTGGGTGGGCAGGCAGCCTAGCTCAGTTCTGGCTCATGCTGGGTCCAGGAACTCAGACACCATCCCAACTTGAACAGGGGCTGCTACCACCCCGTGCTGCTGGTCTGCAAGGGGAGCTGGTTTTTAAACTGGTTTTTAAACTGGCTCCCCTCGTGGACCCGCTCCCACCTGACACCCCACACTGCTGCCTCTGATACAGCAGCAGCAGCAGTGCAGTGTGGCAGGGGGCTCCTCGGGAGTGGGGCTGGAGCGCACTGGCTACTGGCCTCACCCCTGGGGAGTATAGAATAGTCGATTAATCAATAAGAATTCATGAGGTTACTCGACTATTCAATTAACCGATATTTAACGTCCCTATTCTAAAACTTGGTGTTTTTAAGGGACCTTTCTAAGAGGCAGATGTGATAGGCTGGGTCGTCTGAGATCCCCTTGGGCTGTCTCCCAGTGGGCTGATCATACCACTGAGCCTGCCAACCTGCCCTCTGGGGCACCCCACCACCCCCACTCTGCCAATTCTGACAGCCCAGGGGATCCCTGTGATCCAACCCATCTCAGCGGGACTTTCTCAGGCTTTATTACCATTTTCATTTGCTTTATGTTAAGGCCATTGTGTTGGGGGCATACATGTAATCCTGCCGTGAGGGCAGGGGACGGGACTCGATGGCCTCTCGAGGTCCCTTTCAGTTCTAGTGTTCTATGGTTCTATTTTTCTGATCAGCTAGCTGTTGGCCTGAAAGGGAGAGAGAGAAAGAGAATTATCATCTCAACAATGGCAAATCAAGAGGTTAAGCGATTTGCTCCAGGATACACTGATTTTTGGGTTTGGTGGCTGAAATCAGCCCTCCGCCCAATTGTTTTGGGTTGAGTGTAACATTTCATTTCAGCCTAGAGCATCTGTACCCCTTTTCTGTAGAGCCCTGTAAATCTGTGGCTATCTTCTTTATATCCACAGATGCAGATGTGGATATCAATTTTGTACCTAGAACCCTGCCGATTTGTGGATATCTGCTGTGTAATCACAGATATCTGGATCCACGGATGTAGATGCAGATATCCACAGCTCATTTGTGCTGATACAGACGCGGATGCGGGTACAACATTTCGTATCCGCACTGGGCTCTATTTTGCTGTTTGTTATTAAATGTGGCTGCATTTCCAAATGCAGTTCTGTTGCACTATATAATTTTTAAGACAAAACGTTGTGAAGTGGCTTGAAACTACATTTTTTTTGGTGAAGAATGTATTCACCGGAAAAAAAATTCACCCAACTCTTGGTCCACTGTCTTAACCACAGGGTCATGCTTCCTCTCTAAGATACAGTCCAAGATTCCTTAACTAGCTCACTCTGGGATCACTATGCAGATGCTGCTAGGGCTGATGGCCTGTGATATACAGGAGATCAAGCTAGCTGGTCTGGCAGTGTCTTCTGGCCTTAAACTCAATGGTGTTATATGAGTATTATCCTAAATACCTGAAAGGACAAAATGCAAACCCTGGAAGTAGCAGAGATGGGAGTAGTCATGGCAGCTTCTTGTGGGCAGAGATGCTTCTAAAGCTGATCCAGTAGTGTTATCTGGGACCAAGCCTGAAATGTGGTTATGATCCTGGCGTCAAAAGGCCGCAAAGCGCCATCCAAAGCTTGGAACACAAAGTGCCTCTAAAACCCGGCAATCGCAACACTGAGGGTATGGTTTTGTCGACAGAAATTTTGTCGACAGATACTGTCGACAAAGCTTCTGTCGACAAAGAGCATCTAGACTACATCCAGTTCTGTCGACAAAGCAAGCTGCTTTGTCGACATAACAGTGTGGACGCAAAGGACAGTGTAGATGCAATAATGCCTTCTATCGACAGAACTCTGTCGACAAAAGGCGTTATTCCTCGCAGAATGAGGTTTACATACGTCAACAAAACTCAGCAGTTTTGTCGACGTTACGTCGACATAACTCAAAGGCAGTGTGGACGCAGGTATCGTTTTGTCGACAGAAGTCCACTTTTGTCGACAAAACCCTGTAGTCTAGACACACCCTGAAAGAACAGTGGAAATGGGGAAGGGATTTAAACAAAAATCTTTCTCTGCAGATCATGTGAGGTCACAGCTAGTCAGTGCACGATCACAGCACGGCTCTCAAGGGCACAAAGAGCCCTGACTCTCCGGGACTGACATCTAAGAACCTGGCTTGGCAGGATTGCACGGAGCCATTCCCTTAGCTCAAATGACAGTGCACTGGCCTAGAAAGCTGGATACTTGGGCTCCTAACCCCTCCACTTAATTAACTTATTAGCAGGCTAGTTAAAACACTAGCAACAGTCTCTGTTGTGTCTGTAGAGCACAACAGGAGTGATTGACTCCTGGGGGAATTCTGTGCCACATTTAAACTACAATAGAGAAGGGTATTTTCTGCACCACTCAGAAGCAGTCCAAAAGCACGGGAGATCCAAGGGACGGAGGGAGGAAGGAAGGAACCTGGATTGTTGTTCCATGTGTGTGGGAGAAGTAGCAAAGGGAAGCTTTTTTGGGGGGGGGATTGTTAGGGATTTGGGGAGTCTCCCCATCCAGACCCTGGCAGATCCCTAGCTTATCCCATTAAGTCTGGCACATCTGCCCCTGTCCCTGTGTCCCTGCACTTCTGCTCCACCACCCCTCTTCCCCACATCCCCCTGTGTCCCTGTACTTCTCTTCCCCATCTCCACATCGCCCTGCAGCTCTCCCGTCCCTGCCCCCATGTGGTCCTGCACCCTCTGCCCTCCATCCAACGTGGCTCTGCAG